TCCTCATTGTCGCTATCTTCATCATTATTACTTAATTCTAAACTCATATCTATAAATTTATTTTGTAATTCACGAATAATAGGATACATTAGCAAAAGAGTAGGATACTTGCTTCCTGAAAAGAATTTAGTTGCATACTCAAATGGTTTTAATGCATTTATAATTCTTTTTAACAAATCCCACTCATAATCTTTTAATAGTAACTGAGACAATTTTTGACTGTCTCTTTTATTTTCTTTTCCTTTCTTTAAGGACAACACAGATGCTAACCATGTTATTGCATCTTTTAATTCTAAGAGTCTTGTCATGAATAGTAACTAGAGTTCCATTTAGTACAAATATCGGTGATATTACGCAACACTTTTATTGTAGATTCATCAATTTCTTTTTCTTCATCCTCTTCTTCTGAACCAATTTCTTCATCTATATCAAGAGCTGATAATGGATTAAATCGAACAATTTCAACATCCTCTTCTCGAATATGATTTTGTCATGCAAGATCTATTTGTGTCTCATCAAGCTGCTCGAATTGTTTAACTGATTCTGTAAAAAATTTTACCAATTCTTTGAACCTTTTTACATAAGGACCAATTTTTTTTAAACTCTTCGTCACTGATAATTGAAGAGTATGAGCAGAACAGAGTAACCATTCAATATCTTCTCACATGGTAAAAGCTTTTTTCATATTGGAACCATTATCGATGACTCCTAAAAATAATTTTTTATTTAAACTAAATTCACCTATTTTATTATCAATATAATCATATATTTTCTCAGCTATATGAAGATACCGCATACATTCAATAGTAAGAAGCACATCAATAATTTCAAAATCAGATGTGAGCCAATGAACCGTAATGCCAATATATCCAAATTTGGATCTGGCAGTCCAGAGATCCATAGTAATGGTAGCATATTCACATGTTTTATTAATTTTTGTCTTAAGTTGGGTTATTCTATCTTGATAAGCCACTGCTATAAAATTTTTACACCCTTTATTAGATGGTGGTTTAAACCATGGATCAATTTTTTTCATAAATCGCTAAAATCCTTCTCCAAGAAGTGTATTAAAGGATAAAGAATCCATAATAATCCACTCTGTACATGCTGCTTGTAGTTTATTTTGTTTATTTGGACCATGCGGTTTTATATTATCTAGAACTTGTTCAAGTATAACTTGTTCTTTTTTCTCCGCCTATTAAAATTTTGCAAAAAACGTAAAATTTTTTAATAAACGTCTGAAAAAATCTACCCGGATAATCAATATAGTCAAAAAAATTTTTTCAAAATTTGATCCGACCAGATTATGAGAACCAATTTATTAAATTTGTATAGCCTAATGATAAATTCAATAATACCTTTTTAGCCAGACTTTTGAGAACTATATCATGTTCTTGTATTATGTGATAATTCATTGATGTTGTTGAATTTGAATTAGTACAGTCATATTTTTGCTCGCACTTTTTTGTTTTTCCATCTTGAGTTATTTTGACTTGGCATACTGCGAAATTTTCTTCTATTTTAAAATAATGCCATGCTTCAGCTATGAGTCTGTATTTTTTTCTTTTTTTTGGTAAACCAGTAGTTTTTTGTCTTTTAACACAGATGATAATAATTTAGGAGAAAACCCTATTTCTCTACTGTTATTATTATTGTTATTATCATTGATTTCAGATTCACTGTCGATTTCTAAATCATAAATTTCACTATTCTGGATATTATTCATTTTAAACGAAAGGAAGTTGATTCAAATTTTTTTTAAGGTTTGATTTATTTGTTGCATTCAATTCCAATTTTAGTTTATACTCTTAAAACAAAGTTCAATTTTAGTATTATTACCAATGATTAAACCGGTATACCACAAGAAATTGATTTTAAAGTTTGATTATCACTGCATTATTTTACTAGAACTTGCAATATGAAGTTTAGTACGTTGTCAAACAAATTTTAAACATTTTGAACATCATGGATTCGATCGTTGTTATTAAAGGTAATATAGGATAAAAGAAGATATTATGGTGAGAGTGAGTAATATGATAGGTCGAAAAACTTATTGTTCCACTAATCAGTATTGAATAGTATCTATGCTTTAATTTTTCTCTTTTAAGAATCAAAATATATAAAATCACTTAATTTTGTTCACTGCAACATGAAATATGTATCAAATTATCTCATAACTAAATTTTATTGATCACTAAACTTTTTATTAATGTGTTTAATCCTAACTAAAATCTAATGCACTAATCATTAAATTCAGAACCCGATTTTATTCAAAAAATATGAAAAAAAGGCCGAATATGAAAGATCACGAACGATCAATAATATAAAATCAAAATTCACCATCTCTATACTATGAATTGAATAATCGTAAATTTTAGAAAAGAATTTTTATATTATATGTTATAATCATTTCTCTGTTTTTCATACTGCTTATACTTCACTCTTCTTATCATTGTATGTTTACGACATCTCTACTTTTATTTGGGTAAGTAACAATTTTATGTTTGTCACTTGATATGGGCGGAGCAGCAGCACTACTAATTGCAAGTTTGCTGAAGTGGTCATTTCCTGGCATACAAATGTCTGGTGAATGACAAATTAACATCTCTGGCTTTGAAAATAAAGCTGCTTTGACGTAGTCATTCGTGAGAATATTTGTACTGAAACTAATTATACACTTTCTACTTAGATCTCTTAGACGACAAAGATAACCTACTTGTAGTTGGTAAATAATATAACTTTTTAAAAATAAGTTAGTTACATTTATGTTACAGTAATATTATCATAAAAGAAGCTACTGTACTTGAAATCATAAAGCCTTGACTACACACTCTGG